GTGGACGAATTTCTCCGGGGCAAAGCATAAACATCTTCAAACTGCTCAGAGAGAACCTGCACAGGAACACTGCGTCCACGAACCATCCATAACTCGTCAGCGCGCAGAGCCATCCTTCGTGGATCACTGATGGATTCAGAGAGCAAATGTGCTCAAATATCAGCAGGGAGACGATCCATAAACAAACCCCTGAAGAAAAAACCAGGCTTCTCATCCTCAGGGAGCAAAACTAACATTTTATCCATTAGCTCAGAAGGACGTTGGTCAGACAACAAAGGCAAACTTTGTAACGCCTGATATCTCTGGAAGTCACTCAACGTATACATCTGGATGAGGCGACTTCTCAGGGCTTCGTAAGGAGCGGCAGGGGGAGCTCGGACCAGGTCTAGAAGTCGGCAGGCAACATCCTGGGGCAACGCAGCGAGGCAATGGTTGAACTTGGTCCGCGAGATTGTAATCCTTTTTACCTCGAACTGTGCTTCAGCCTGGATGAACCATACCTCTGGAGAATCGGTCCAAAAGGTCGGAAGCTTTACGGAAACTGTTGTCAAAGGAACTGCAGACAGGGGTACATCACTTCCTTCTTCCTCCGGCATGTTGACAATCGCTACTGTAACTAATCGCTCATGCTAAATTTTCTCGAAATCTCACTGGAAACCTTACTTTGGTATTTGGGTTTGAAGAACGCAGGGACCCGGTTGAAACCAATTTCAGGTACGTCGGCGAGAGAGACTGCTTAACTTTGACAGCGACGAAAATCATGTCGGGGTCACCAAAATGTAGCGACGCAAAATAAGAAAGATATAAACGGGACTAACTGTATATTTTGTTCTAACTTACAACATGAGAAATTAAACTGAATAAATATGTTTGGTTTGGTCTTCAGAGTTTCCGGCAATCAGCTGGTAATCCGTTTACGTGAATGTTTGCAACTTATGTGTCAGAGTTAAGTCAACAATTCAACTAATCAATTATTCAACCAGACTATCAGTCAAGTAATCACCAACCCTGCCTATTGTCTTACAACCATACAGGTGAGTTGCACATAAAAGTTAAAATTTTGAACCAGACGCAGATAATCACACCTTTTTCTGACTAACCCTGTATATATTTGTATGTATGATAAATATTTGTTAGCTAAAGCTGGCTAAATGGCTAGACCGAATTGGCTGATATTTTTTTAGGGAACCCTTGCTTACACCGGGGGAAATAAAAACAAAAAAAGACATATTTATTTCTTTCAAAAATCGATTTTTTAAAAATAGAAACTGTTTTTATCATAATTCGTTTTTAATTTAATGGTCACCTCCGGGCACTACAGCTGCAAATAGTTTATATGTCTAGGGTGTACATATATGACTAGTATATTTATATATATATATATATATTATATATTCCGCAACTGCAAATCAAAAACTCCTATGTGTTTACAATTAAAATGTCCTTCAGGGCACGAGCGGTATTTTAAACATGCTTACATTCAAAACTCCTTCATGTTTACTTTCAATATGAATTCTTAGGTTTTCTGTGTCCATTACAGCATACTTACATTCAGAGCAAGAATATCTGACTATTTAGTCTTTTCTTTCAATGTTAATCTTTAAATTGTCAGCTCTAGCTGCAACAAATTCACAATAAAAACAAGGACATCTCACTCCATTGTGTTTATTTTTAACTTGATACTCCAGAGAACGTGCTGTATTTGCAACATAATTACACTGCAGACAAGAATATCTTACTTTTTCGTGTTTAATTTCAACATGTCTCTTTAGAACCCTTGCCGTGGATGCAAAATATTCACATTTTGGTCAAGAATAACTCGATCCTTCATGCTTACTTTTAACATGTTTCTTAAGGTGATAAACACTGGTTGCAACATAAACACACTCATTGCAAGACAATCAAATCAAATCCTCGATTAATATTTTCTCCTGAAGAGATAGATTTGTAATGTTTATTTTATTCATTTAAAATTTTGATTCAATTAACCGATTGTTGTGCTAAACTTAATATCTATATAAAAACAAGACATTTGTTATATATATGTTGCCTATAGCCGGCCAAACGACTGGACCGATTGGGCTGAAATTTTTTGTGGCTAAAAAAATCGAAAAATTTTTCAATTTTTTTTGGGCGACGCCGGGCCCTTCAGCTAGTATTTATATATTGTTGAATTATTGAATTACCTTTATTCTCGTTTTCATGTCTAATGATTAGCTCAATCAGGATCAAAAACACGTTTATTCTCTACAGTATCCTGTATTCCAGTATTTAATACATCTGAACATAAAATCAAAAGTTTACTAAATTTCTTAATATTTTTAGACTTAAACTCTTTCAAGAACCCTTGTAAAATATACTTTAAAGGTTGTTCAACCTTTTTTCTAAAAAAACTAATTCCAAAAATATTATATTTTCTTCACACATTTATTCTTCACATCAATTATCTATTTCCCTTAAAAAGTTTTGTTTAACCTTCCCGACCCCTTCTAAATATCATGGCACCCAGCACCCCCCCCCNACAAATATGCGAATCGAGAATAACACGGTTTAAAAGATTGAATAATTTCTGAAGAATTAAGTTAGTGAGGAAAAATAGCTGACAACTGATTAACATCAACACATTATGTAAATCCGTTCCCAAGCTATGGAAAGTCCGGCGGTTCAAACCAGTTCTCCGATCAGAACTTGAAGAAAATCAGTCAAGGAGTTCAATAATTATGATGTGTAAGATTTGAGGATCTTTTATAAACTATGATGTGTTCAGGATGTTCAGGCTCACCGTTACTACTCCTTCCCCTTGCCCACCCTCCCTACTCATCCTCTTAGCACGCCCTTTCTTCTCCTCCTCCATGCCTGCCCTCCCTACTCCTCCTCTTAGCACGCCCTTACTCTCCTCCTTCATGCCCACCCTCCCTACTCATTTCCACTTCCCTTTGTACTTGGATTTAAATTATCTTTAACAAAAAATTATTTTATCTGTAAATATAGTTTAATGTGGAAACATGTTTCATTATTCCACTCAATCTTACATTTCCACTTCCCGCCCTTACTACTCCTCCTCATTGCCCGCCCTCCCTACTCGTCCCCCAGCCAACCCTCCAAACCAATTTCCAATAAATTTTGTACTTGGATTTAAATTATCTTTAACAAAAAATTATTTTATCTGTAAATATAGTTTAATGTGGAAACATGTTTCATTATTCCACTCAATCTTGGCTTTTTACTTTCAGTCCTTTTTCAAGTCTATAATACTATTCCCCTCAAAATAGAAAATCTTTTATTCCATGTTCACCATGTTATGAAGAAGCCAACATTGTCATGTTTACCTTTAATTCCTGTCTTTTCCATCTTTATATCATCTGTATGTAGATTAAAGTACATGAATCTTCTACAGTAGAGAGGGGAAGAATTTCTTCCTTGAAGGAAATTATCTCTTCTTTTATCTTCTTTAATAATCTCTGCCATTCTATCTGAAAAATACTTTCAGCATAAAATAGAAATATTTACAAATTAAAAGATAATCAATAATATTATTTAGATATATGAAAAACAAAAATTAAGAGATTTAGATGTCAGGTAATGTGTAATTATTTATAAATTGCAAAAACCCTTTTTTTAGCTTTCCCGCAAAGGAAAAAATAGAAAAAATTACAACCAAGCAAATTATTTCATAAAGAAAAATATTCATTTAAAAAACGCTTTTAATTTGAGGAACACAATTTTTTTCTTCAGATTTCAAGGGACCGTTCACTTATTTGGGTAATTTCAGGGTAAACTGAATAGCTTATTAGCTATTTTTTGGCCTTCGTATAAGGTTTCCAAGATAACTTTGGCCGGTAACAAAAGAACTGGCACTCAGGCGTAATTTTAAATTTACTAGGCTTTAATTTTATCTTTTAATTCTTTCAGAATTTTACTTTAATAAAACAAAAATGAATTTTTTTTCGTGGATTTTCTAAATTTTACGAAAATCAAAAAATGTTTGAGACAACTTTATGTAATTCTGAGCATCCATAAACCTTGTGAGGTTATTACCAAACTAATCAAAAAAAAATTACAAACTATCCCATATGCTTACTCTTAATATGTCTTTTCAGACTCCTTGCTGTAGTCCCAATATACTCACATTGTGAGCAAGGATATATTACTCCCTTGTGTTTACTATCAACATGTTCCTTCAGTTGTACTGCTCTAGTTGAAGCATATTCACAGTGAGCGCAAATATATCTCAGCCCTTCGTGTTTGTTTTTAACATGAACCTTCAGAGCACTTGCTGTAGTCGCAGCATGCTCACATTGGGAACATGGATATCTCACTCCTACATGTTTACTTTCAACATGTCTTTTTAGATCACTTGCAGTAGATGCAGCATGCTCACATTGTAAGCATGGAAATCTCATTTCTTGGTGTTTGATTCCAATATGTTTTTTCAGATGGCTTGCTCTAGTCGCAGCATAATCACATTCGGGGCAAGGATATCTCACTCCTTCATGTGTACTTTCAACGTGAGTCTTTAGGTTAAAAGCTCTGGTTGCAACATAATCACATTCATTACAAGTATATCCCACCTTACTCCTTTTAGTTCTCTTTGTCTTTGGTTTTAATCCTTGATCCATGTTTCCTCCTGATAAATAAATTTTATTTATTTATTAATTTTTCAATTTTAATCGCAGTTTTTATTTTTAGAAATTGATGAATTAATAAATAACCTTTATCATCGTTTTCATGTTTATTGATTAGCTCAGTGTCGAAATCAGAATCAAATACAGGTTTATTCTCTACATTTTCTTGTATTCCAGTATTCAATACATTTAAGCCTTTAAACAAACAATTCACAATGAGATAATACTTTTAGAATCATACCATCCCCTCCCAGACCCCGTCTTATTGATAAATGCCAAAAAGTTCTCTGAAAAAAAAGTTTTAGGAAATAAAGTCCTAACTTAGGGCACTAAAAAGTCCCGTGGAAAAAAGTCCTTAAAATAAAAAATCCTAGAAAATAAAGTCATTCCATTTTGACACTTTATTTTTTAGGACTTTTTTTGGTTTCAGTATGATTATATACAAAAACATCCCCGGAAAGAAGTCCTATTATAGTAGAAAATGCATGAGAACAGAGGATGCTTGCCCAATGCAAAAAAAAAGGCGCTTGATAGTAAACAATATGGCAATATTCAATTTGCAGATGCATAGAAAAAATCCTTTTTATGAAAATGTCTCAGACAGCCTTCGGGGCTTCAATTCGTATTTACTGAGACTTTATTGGCAGTCTTCATCCTATTTTAGGAAACGTCCTAGGTATCTAAAACTAAATGACATTTTTTCCGAGGACTTCGGAAATTGGGACTTTCTACCAAAGTTTTTTTTCAGCAACTTTTTTTCTGTGACTTTCTGCCACCCTTTCAAATATTCTTTAAAGTTTTTCAACCTTATATTCTATAATATTAAAAGAAAATTAATTAATTTCCTCGCAGGATCATTTGTTTCTTATTTAAAATATTTAAAAAATGGCTGAATCCTATCATTTCCAGTAAAAAACTTTTGTAATCTTTATTTTATTCAACTTTTTAATATTGTAAAATCAAAAACACAAATATAAATTTAAAATTGTAATCTCTGTTAGTCTGTCTTTTTGTTTGTCCGATCATTACTCAGGAACCCCTGAACCGATTTGCCTCAAATTTTGATTGGGTAACACAGAAGCCACGGGAATGTTCTTAGCTTTGTTTGAGACTTTTAGTTGAGTGGGTCGACTTTAATAGCACAAATTTAGTTTCCCGGTAAAATCGACCAAGTGCAGGTAAACGGCGGAAGTAAATTATGAGTATTAAGGACAGCGCCAGGTTCTCAAGCTATTTTTTTTAAATTAAAACATTTTAGAAGTTTTCACGGAAATTATCGGTTTTCCGTCAGATTTTACAACTCAACATTACTACAACTTAGAAACTTCTCAAAAAAAATGTGGCCGAGCCTTATTTGACTTAAATAAAAGGTTTACAGTGTTAACTAAATATTGCTGAACCCCCCTCCCCCAATTTTAAATAATCAACAAAAATAAAAGAATTTCAAGTTTACCTTGTAATTCAACATTTTCCAGTTTTATTTCATCGTTTTGTATTTCTACAAAAAATGTGTCCTCTAAAGTAGATGTAGTCTCTAAAGCCTTGACATCGGATTCCCTTTTCACCATTTCTGTCATTTTATCTGAAAAAAAACCAAATCAATTTATGTCATTGAAATACCAACATCATTTCCTGTTGTTGAAAATAATACATTTTTGGTTCAATTGAATTAATTTTTAGAAACATTGAATTAGTTTAAACCGGGTTATTCGTGTTTACATTCAACATGTTTCTTCAAATGACAATTGCTCGAGATGCGACATAATCGCATTCAGAACAAGGATATCTCACTCTGTCGTGTTTACATTTCACATGTCTCTTCAGATCATGTGCTGCAGTAGAGATATGCTCACATTGAGAGCATGGATATCTCACTCCTTCATGTTTATTTTCGACATGAATCTTAAGAATACTTGCTGCAGTTGCAATAAACTCACATTTAGGGCAAGGATATCTCACCCCCTCATGTTTACGTTCAACATGAATCTTCAGATGACTTGCTTGAGTTGCAATATACTCACATTTAGGACAAGGATGTCTCACTCCTTCATGTTCACCCAAGTGTATCTCACTCCTTCATGTTTATTTTCGACATGAATCTTAAGAATACTTGCTGCAGTTGCAACAAACTCACATTTAGGGCAAGGATATCTCACCCCCTCATGTTTACGTTCAACATGAATCTTCAGATGACTTGCTTGAGTTGCAATATACTCACAATCAGGGCAAGTGTATCTCACTCCTTCATGTATACTTTCAACATTAACCTTCAAAGCACGTCGTGCTGTAGTTGCAGCATGCTCACATTTAGAACAAGTATACCTAACTACCTCAAGTCTAATTTAAACATGTTTCATTAGATGACCTGCTGTAGTAGCGGCATACTTACATTGACGGCAATGGTATATCACTCCTTAGTGTTTCGTTTCAACATGCCTCGTTAGGTTACCTGCTGTAGTTGCAGCAAACTCACATTCAGGACAGGGATATCTTACTCCTTCGTGTTTCCTCTAAACATGCTCCTTCAGTCCGCTTGCTGTAGTTGCTGTATGCTCACATTGTGGGCAAGGATACCTCACTACTTCGTGTTTATTTTCAACATGAATCTTTAGTTGATTTACTCGATTGGCAAAATACTCACATTCAGGGCAAGATAAACTCACTCCTTCGTGTTTAATTTCAACATGAATCTTTAGGGTAACTGCATGAGAAATCCCATTGAGAACATGGATTATGATAACCATCTTATACACTTCTTTATTCTCTTTGGTTCTGGTTCAGATTGCAGAGGATCAAATCCACGAGAAATATTTTCTCCTGAATAGTAAAAGATAAATGTTTAATCTATAAAGTAGAGAATTGGAATGTGTTTGTTTGTTTGCCTGCATATTTTTAAGGTTTTTGGGCCCTTTTTAAGGCAGCGCAGGAAACGTTGGGTACTTAATTTAGTTAGTTGATATTAATAAGATTTTTATTATTAAATCTAACATTGCATAATGCTCGGCCTTGATTTCTTCGGAATTATAGACGACTAAGATTGACTGGTTATTATTTATTTATTTCTACTTAGTAAATTATTAGTTGAAATTGTTTAATGTTAAATCCAAACCTTAAGACTTCTTTTCTTGCCTCGAGATCATTTTGGGGGAAACCATGCAAGTCTTAATGCTGTATTTCTTTTGCATATTGAGATAGCAAGCCGACTTTAGCACCAAGCAACTATTAACTGATGAAACAAGGGTTAAAGAGGTGGGAGTTGGGGGAATACAAGGTGTTATTATTTGTAAACAGTGTTTAAACATAAGTAAGAAATGAGAAAATTTCATATCTTGGTATTCATTGAACCGGCGCTTGAAAACCAGAGTTCAAAACAATTTACAGAATTGAAAAATAATGAAAATTGGACAAGTTATGGTCAAAAATTGTTTCTTTAAATAAATTTCAGTAAGTATCCAAAAAAAGCCTTTTTTGACCTAACTCAGTCAAAATTGCCAGAGATCTAAATAATTTTTATTAGTTTTCATTTTATTTAAGACAATGAAAATCTTATATTCTTAAATACAATCATTCATATATCCTATGATCTTGAACGTACAAAAAAGGCAGACCACATTTTGGAAATGGCTGGCCTGAGGCTATTTGTGATTACTGTTTCATCAATCATCTATACTTTATATAAATCATCTATGCTTTGCCCTGAATATTCCTGACCCTTTCATGTATACTTCAACATATTTCTTTAGTTCACCTGCTCTGGTTGCAGCACATATACATTGAGAACATGGAAATCTCACTTCTACATGTTTAATCAGATTGATTCTGTTAGTAGCAACGTACTCACATTTAGAACAAGGATAACTCACAAAGTCATGTTTACTTACTGAAGTTGTAATACACTTACATCGTGAACAAGAAATCTCACCCCTTCATGTTTACTTTCAAACTGAACCTTCAGATGAGTTGCTCGAGTTACAATAAACTCACATTGGCAGCATGGATATCTCACTTCCTTATGTTTACATTCAATATGAATCTTCAAGTGACTTGCTGTTAAAACAACATACTCGCAGTGGGAACAAGAATATCTCACTTCTTCGTGAAAGTAAGCAGGAAGGTGTGCTTCTGTCCTACTTTCAATATGAATTTTCAGTTTTCTTACGCTGGTTGCAGTAAACTCACATTTAGGACAAGGATGTCTCACTCCTTCATGTTCACCCTTAAAGTGGATCTTGAGGTTACAAGCTCTGGTTGCAACATACTCACAATTGTTTCAAGGAAATTCCACCATGCTCCTCTGATTAAGATTTCTCTTCAATTCTTGTTCAAATCCTTGATCCATATTTTCTCCTGAATATTTAAAGATAAATGCTATTTCATAATGGTTTCATTTGTAAAACCTGACATATTAGAGTTTAATGGCCTGTAATTATTGTATTCTCATTTCTGTAATTTTCCATACAAATGTAAGATTTGTAATTACCTGAATCCTCTATTTCATCTTTTATGTCAAGTTCCCTTTTAACCGTATTTAACAGGATATCTAAACTTTATACTGGTCTACTCTCTTCCATATTTAACAGGATATCTAAACATTATACTGGTTTACTCTCTACCATATTTAATAGGATATTTCAACATAATGAAGGTTTACTCTCAACCATATTTAACAGGATATTTTAACATAATGCAGGTTTACTCTCTACCATATTTAATAGAATATTTTAACATAATGAAGGTTTACTCTACAATATTTAATAGGATATTTCAACATAATGCAGGTTTACTCTCTACCATATTTAATAGGATATTTCAACATAATAACAGGTTTACTCTCAACCATATTTAACAGTATATCTCAACGTAATACAAGTTTACTCTCCACCACATTTAACAGGGTCTCTAGACATAATACAACTTTAATCTCAACCATATTTAACAGGATATTTTAACATAATAAAGGTTTACTCTCAACCACATTGAACAGGATATCTAAACATAATGTAAGTTTACTCTCTAGTATAATTTACAGGATATCTAAACATAATACAGGTTTACACTCTAGTATAATTAACAGGATATCTAAACATAATACAGGTTTACACTCTAGTATAATTAACAGGATATCTAAACATAATACAGGTTTACTCTCTAGTATAATTAACAGGATATCTAAATATAATACAGGTTTACTTTTTACAATATTCAACAGGATATATAAACATAATACAGGTTTACTCTCTAGCATATTAAACAGGATATCTAAACATAAAACAGGTTTACTCTGTAAAATATTTAATAGGATATTTAAATATAATACAGGTTTTCTCTCTGTATTTAACAGGATATATAAACATAAAACAGGTTTTCTCTCTACCATATTTAATAGGATATTTTAACAAAATACAGGATTACTCTCTACCATAATTAACAGGGTCTCTAGACATAATACAGGTTTAATCTCAACCATATTTAACAGGATATCTAAACATAATACAGGTTTACTCTCTAGTATAATTTACAGGATATCTAAACATAATACAGGTTTACACTCTACCATATTAAACAGGATATCTAAACATAATACAGGTTTACTCTCAACCACATTGAACAGGATATCTAAACATAATGTAAGTTTACTCTCTAGTATAATTAACAGGATATCTAAACATAATACAGGTTTACACTCTAGTATAATTAACAGGATATCTAAACAAAATACAGGTTTACTCTCTAGTATAATTAACAGGATATCTAAATATAATACAGGTTTACTTTCTACAATATTCAACAGGATATATAAACATGATACAGGTTAACTCTCTATATTTAACAGGATTTTTAAACATAATACAGGTTTACTCTCAACAATATTTATCAGGATATCTAAACATAATACAGGTTTACTCTTTTGCATAATTAACAGGATATCTAAACATAATACAGGTTNTCTACTGTCTACTGTCTACTATCTACTATCTACTTTCTACTGTCTACTGTCTCCAATATTAAATATTAGACAAAAATAAAAAACGGTCAATTTAACCTTTACATTTTAATATAATACAGGTGTACTCTCTACTGTATTTAACAGGATTTCCAAACATAATTCAGGTTTAGTCGCTATAATATTTAACAGGATATATAAACATAATACAGGTTTACTCTACCATATTCCGAATGTTTTTGCTTTAAACACTTCCCTTATCAATGTATGAAAAGTCAATTTTGGAAATAAAATGAATTTATTGATTTCCCCCCACCCCCCATCCCCAATATTAAATATTAGACAAAAATAAAAAACTGTCAATTTAACCTTGTATTTCTGTATCTAAATTTGTTCTCGTAATTTCTGCAATTCTATCTGAAATAAAATAAGTATCAGAATGAAAGACAGCTCATTGATTCTTGCTGAAATTAATGCATATTATATAACACATTGGTGTGTTTAATACTTCACATGAGATATCAAATTGACTATTAGCATAATTTAATGTTATTTTTTTTAAATTCGCAATTCTATCATTCGAAATAAACAATTTATTTGATTTTATTGTATTGTAAAATAAAGGTAAAATAAAATCATAATTTAAATGTCTTAAAATGTTCATAGGAGTAAAACCAAATACACTGTTTTAGAACAATGTCAGGCACTGTCTGTCTAGCTAGCAAGCAAGTGCAACTGAAAAGTGAAATCCAACTTGAAAATTTATTTGAACAATCAGCTGATATTTGCAATGACGCTGCAACTGACAAATAACGAATTTAAAATCTAAGAAAGACGACATTTAGACTAATCTGTTGAATGTAGAGGACGACATCAAGATATATTATAATAAGCCTGAATAAAGTGTCAAATGTCATTAAGTCTAATATTCAATTGAAAAACGTTTATTTGGACTAATGTTCAATTGAACTAACGTTCAGAAAGACTATATTTATTATGAAAAGATTTTTGTTCAATTCAGCTAAAACCGAAGTGCAGAATTTTTAACTTACTATATCAAATTTTTTACTAATTACTAACTAATTCTAACAACTATGTTTATGTGAAATGTCTGTTTGTGTATATTTTTGTGTGAACAAATCTTAGGTAGGACCTGTAACTATGTCTGTGTGTGTATATGTCTTTGAGTATTTATGTCTGTGTGTGTAATGTTTGTCTGTGGGTTTGTGTATTTATATATTTGACTGGATGTATATATATGTCTGAAATCTGTATGCATATATATATATATATATATATATATATGTCTAGAGCATCTGTGTATATTGTTTGTGTGTAGTATAAGTCTACTCTATAGTCTGTACTTTTTTAATGTACATGCAGTGTGTAATAATTACCCTAGATGTATAAATTATGTCTGCACTTTTGTCTGAGTGCTCAAGATCTGTGTGTTAATTATTATAGATTTATTTCGAACAACAAAGGTAAAATGGCACAATATGATTAGACAAAAACAAGAAAAAAGTCTGTGTGTTAATGTCTGTGAGTATTAAATTCGGTATGTAGTAAAGTGCACTGCTGTCCAATGAGTCCAATTGTTACTCATATCTCGGTGTAGAAAAATTTCATTTGTACCAATATGTTTTGATTGGATTTATGGTCCATGTAGGCTAATTTGTACAGTGTCCTTAAGTCTGTGTGTGCTAAAGTATGTGTGTGCCAATGTCTTAATGTGCATACCAAAGCCTTTGTGTTCTAATATTTTAAAGTCCTTGTTCACAAATGCCCGTGTGATGTGTTATAATGTCCGTGCATGTAATAAGTCCATGTTTTCTGATGTTTGTGTGTACCAACGTCTGTCATCTGTTCGTACAAAACTGTTCGTATAAACTAATGTCCGAACTAATGTCTAGCTGTTTGTGCTAACGTCGCTGTGTGGTTTGTATACTAACGTCTTTGGGTGTGTTAATATCTATGTTTAGTAAAGTCCATGTGTAATATTATCTGTATGTAAGTGTCCAGTAGCGTACACATGTGGGGCAGTAGTCCTCTTGCATCCCCCTTGGGATTTTTGGGCAAAGGTAAAAATCAGGTGTTCTGGGTAAAAAAAGCTTGCCCTCATCATCAAAGGGGTGTTTTCCCCCTTAATTTACCTTAGTATTTCCATTTTATCTAAAATCTCCACCCCGCAGCATTCTTGATAAACAACTATAGATAGCTATATGCATTATGCACAGACGCGTACACAGGGGGGGGAAGTAGTCCTCGTGCCCCCCCTGGAATTTATGAGCAAAGGTAAAATCAGGTGTTCTGGGTAATAAAATAGAGCTTGCCCTCATTATCAAAGGGGTGTTTTCCCCCTTAGGAAGTATATTTAAAAATTTTCTTAGTGCTTTGCGCCATTTATTTTCAAATTTTACCGTAGTATTTTCATTTTATCTAAAATCTCCATCCCCCCCCCGCATACTTGATAAACAACTATAGCTATGTGCATTATGCAAGCGTTTTGCATGTTTTCCCGAAAATACTGAAGGATACATTTAAATAAATAGTCCGTGGACTACAAAGGTAAGTAGTCTCAGGAATTGTGAGAACTATACGGAGGGATATTTTATAATTTATAGTCCTTGAATCGGGACTACAGAGGACTACAAAGGGGAGTAGTCTCATGGGACTACTTAGGACTTCAGAGGGCAATACAGAACTATACAAATGGATACATTGTAATATGTAGTCCTTGAATTGGGACTACAGTGGACTATAAAGGGGAATAGTCTCAGGAAACTACTCAGGACTTCAGAGGGTAATACATATACAGATAGATATTAGATACATTATAATATGTAGTCCTTGAATTGGGACTACAGTGGACTAGAAAGGGGACTTGTCTCAGGAGACTACTCAGGACTTCAGAGAGTGATACAGAACTAAACAGAGGGATACATTGTAATATATAGTCCTTGAATACTAAATGGGCCACCTAGGGGATATGTAGTAGACTTAATATAAAATTTGCGAAAACTTGCCCCCCCCCTGGCTTAATTCCTGTGTACGCACCTGCTAGTGTCCGTCTGTACTCATGATCGTGCGGCTAATGTCCGTGTGTACCAAAGTCTGTGTGGATTAATGATTGTGTTTACTAAATGTCCGTGTGTATATAATATACGTCCGTATGCACTATATGTCCATGTGCACTTAAGTCCGCGATACTATACGTTAGTGTGTGCACTAAAGTTCGTGTGTTGTAAAGTCTCTGTATGGAGTACCGGTGAATATAAGATGTTTAGTCTTGTCCAACTAGTGGCTAGGTTAGTGTGTATACCAGTGAAATTCGAATCACATCTATATAATAAAGCTCTTCGCTCATATAGATGGCTAAACAGCTGGGCCGAATGGGCTGAAATTTTTTAAAGAAATCCATGGGTATCCGAGGGGTAACATAGGCAAATAGAATTTTTTAAAAATCTTCAACAATCGATTTTTTTTCACGGGCAACGCCAGTCACTTCAGCTACTTATATTATACAATATATACAACTGTATGTTTCGTATTTAAAGGTGCAATTTTTAGGGAGGGGTACAATCCCCCCCCCTGGTTGATACATCCAATTTTCTTCTTAATACCTTAATCAAATAAAAACTTTGATAAAGTATTAATTTTCCCTATAACTCTCTTTTTTATCCTTTTTAATTTGAAAATGTGATGAAAATGTAAAAACTGTTAAAACTGTAAACAGAGTAATACTTTAATGTTATAAGAGCTCTAGTTCTAATTTCAAGGGACTCTCCATGTAAAAGTTGTCTGTACGATTCACAATCGTACCCTTGAAATCTTCAACTAGTGAACAACTATAAAAATATCTGAAAGTTAATGATGCTAAATTGTTGTTTCTCTATGATAGCAAAACATTTACAGAATTTGACACTTTTTAAGATAGAAAAACAGTGATATCTTCTTTAATGTCAGATGAAGGTGTACAATTGTAAATCGGGATACAACTCTTTAATCAGGGATTCAGCTCATATTTAGTTTTCAATCCCTTTAAGATATTCATATAATTAGATTTTCTGGGAAACTTGATAAATTATTGGCAAATTCTTTGCAAAAATTTTAAATCACTTTTGTAAAATTCTTTCCTTTTGAAATATTACCTAAACATGCTTTCACTTTTACATATCGCTAATCAAACTCTAATAAAGATAAAAATTAATTTAAAACTTTTTCCAAAATAAAATTCTTTTTCTTTCTGCTACTTCAATAAATCAAACTTACTATAACAAAGTACTTTATGGGAATTAACTCGATTACGTTTTTAAAAACATCATTTTCAAAAAAAAAATACTTTATTTATTAAGGGGTCAGTGATATTTCAAACTTAGATTATTTGATCTAATTCATGGATTGAAATATCAAATATCTACGACATTGGATTGCAAAGATAAATGGGTTAGAAAATCAGAATTTGTGGCAAAGACTCAATTCCTTTATCAGAAAAAATCATTGTATTATTTCTTTATAGCGGAAAGAATTAAAAAAATATGAAAAACATAATACAAAAAATATTTTAAATATTTTTATTGTAAGATCTTTAATTCCGTTTTTTTTTGCAATTTTATAAATGAAATAACAATTGAAATATTCACTTTGTATAATTAACATATAATACAATTTCGTATCAATAATTATTCCTTTATAATTATAACAATGTATTTCTATGTTTTGGTCGCATATTCTACTACTGTGATAAGGATGGGAGGTTGAGTTAGGTTTTTAGCTAAAGTCTTTTTGGCTATCTATCATTTATCTGGATAGAGTTGTATTCAGTATCTTTTATACACCAGGGAAGGAGGGGGGGGGGGGGGNGTCTACTGTCTACTGTCTACTGTCTACTGTCTACTGTCTACTGTCTACTGTCTACTGTCTACTGTCTACTGTCTACTGTCTACTGTCTACTGTCTACTGTCTACTGTCTACTGTCTACTGTCTACTGTCTACTGTCTACTGTCTACTGTCTACTGTCTACTGTCTACTGTCTACTGTCTACTGTCTACTGTCTACTGTCTACTGTCTACTGTCTACTGTCTACTGTCTACTGTCTACTGTCTACTGTCTACTGTCTACTGTCTACTGTCTACTGTCTACTGTCTACTGTCTACTGTCTACTGTCTACTGTCTACTGTCTACTGTCTACTGTCTACTGTCTACTGTCTACTGTCTACTGTCTACTGTCTACTGTCTACTGTCTACTGTCTACTGTCTACTGTCTACTGTCTACTGTCTACTGTCTACTGTCTACTGTCTACTGTCTACTGTCTACTGTCTACTGTCTACTGTCTACCTATGTATCTCTAACTCATCTGTAATAATGTATTCACGCCTAAAATCAATTTGTTAAGATTAAAATTCAAATTATCTAAAT